GAAGTCTGGGTGAGAATTATTCATCTTTTAGTGGCATAGGAATAGTCATTAAAGCTACAAGGTTGTCAAAAGAGAAAACATAAAAAGCGAAAACAAAGGAGTCATCCTGGAGAACATCCACATTTAGGGTCAGAAGAAAGATACCAAAAGACTTGGCCAGAGAAGTGCTTGATAGAAGTTCTATAGTGGAATACCCTGCAGAAATAGGAAGGGGAAGATGACCCCCTAGAATCCAAGGACTAAGCTTTGGTAACTAAGGTCAATGTCACCCTTGGATCTTGTAGATTTGGTAGAATGATTAAGGTGAAACCCAATAGCAGGGAAGTATGGAGTAAATGGGAAAGGGGGAACTGGAGAGAGTATGGATTAGCCTAAGATTTACATAAGACAGTGGCTTGGAAGAGAGAGACTTTGATGGGGCAGTCAGCTGGTTTTTAGACTGAAGGATCAAAGACAGATAGCTTAAAGATGCAAGACAGCTGAAATAATGCACAGTGTTGGAAGAGGGCTGACCTACGCCACAAGAGGGACTAAGAAGGGGATGGGACTCCTAGTTCTGGGGCAGGAAGGCCTGACCAAATAAGGAAGCAAAGACGTTTCTTATATCCTCATTTAAACAGTGAAAAACTGTGAATGACTTAAATATCACACAGAGACATGGATATAGACATGACCATATGAATGAAGAGAGAGAACGGTGTTAAAGTATTACGCTGTTTATGTTTAAAATAAATAATTTTGTGTTTATATATATTAAAGAAACTGGACCTTTTTTTCAATAAGTAATTTTTATTTTATTTTTTTAAGTCACAATAATGTATTCTGTATAAAATGAAACAATACAATGAAGAATATTCAAAATTTATGACACAGTGCCAACAGTGAGGACAAGACTTAATATAAAGGTACAATGATCAAAATAATATATGGTATTGGCAAAAGAACAGACGAAAGGATCAGTGGAATGCAACAGAGTGCCCAGAAATAGATCCATACAAATATAGTCAACTGATCTTTGACAAAGGAATAAAGGTAAGTCAATGAGGAAAAGATAGTCTTTTCAACAAATGATGCCAGAACAACTGAACACACACACACACAAAAGAATCTAGACATATGGGAACTCTGTACTTTCTGCACAATTTTTCCATAAACCTAATTGCTCTAAAAAATAAAGTCTATTAAAAAAGAAAAAAAGTTATAGGGAAAATGTTTGTGGACTGATTAATGAATGATCAATCCTAGTCTTTTTTCCTTTTTTTATTGCAGTGAAATCCAGACAAAATGAACCATTTTAAAGTGTACAATTCAGTGACATTTAGAACATTCACCATGTTACACAGCCATCACCTCTATCTAGTTCCAAAACGTTGCCTCACCCCAAAGGAGACCTTGTCCCCACTAAGCAGTCTCTCCCCAAACCCCTCTCACCCCAGTCCCCGGCAGCCTAGTGGTTTACCTGGTGGATTTACCTATTCTGGACATTTCATATAAAGGGCATCATACAATATGTGACCTTTTGTGTCTGACTTCTTTCACTGAGCATAATGTTTTCAAGGTTCATCCCGTTGTGGCATGTGTCAGTTAATTCCTTCTTATGAATGGATGATATTCCGTTTTATGGACACAGCACACTTGGTTTACCCACTCATCTGCTGACGACGTCTGGGTTGTTTGCACCTTTGGGCCGCTGTGCCTCGTGCTGTGAGCGTGCGTACACAACTACTCATTCACCCGTAACCCGCCCTCTAGTGGATCCTCCACGTCTCTCATGGGGAGCTAGGCTAATCTGTGGTACTAAGGACACTCCAGCTGATACTGCAGAGGGACTTACCAAAAATAATTTGTGCCTTTTTGTGTTCATTTCTTGTGTGATAGAGCCAAAGTGGAAACACTTGGGCCTGCCGGCCCCGCAGCTTTGGGATGGCACAAGGAGGAGAGGAGGAAGAGTTTCTGGGAAGAGGAGAGAGTGGAGGATCTGGAAAGGTCAGTCATTTCACCTGAGGGCCTTGATTGAGTCCCACATCTTTATGTCCAGGACTGCCGCAGGCAAGGCAGGGTCGGGCATGGGAAACAAGGAATTGTGGGTTTACAAGAACTGGGTCCTTTGGAGTCATTATCTTTAGCTATCCTAAACATATGTGCATAGTTAATGGGTCTTCTTTATAGTCAACTTTCTGTATTTATCTTTCAAATCTATTCACTGTGAACTTGATCCAAAAGCTCGTCTACATTAAGCGATTTGGTTAGAACTTTTCCTTGTGAATTACATGTCTTATGAGGATAGTATCCAAATCCTACTAATGTCTTAATAAAGCGTCTCCATCTCTCCAACAGAACCCACAAAAAGATAAAATGAGATAAATGAGAGCATGCATGTTAAACACTTAGGTCAGCTCAGATTTTAAGTGCACATACATTTTTAAACAAGAATTAGAGAATTAAAATAATCATCTAGACAAATTTTTATTTTAAACTTATAACTTGCATAAACATTTTAAACATCTTAATCAAACAACAGTGTATCAGTTGGACTGAAAGGTTAGGTTAGGCTAACCTTTAGGTTAAGGTTAGGTTAGGCATTCAGGTTAGGCTGAAAGAAATATAAACCCTACATTTTCTTCCCTGACATACAAGTCCAGAGGTAGGTAGTCTAGAGCTGGTATGGTGACTGCAAGCTCCTTAATGTCCTCACCCAACACAGCTCCTTTCTGCTCACCACTCAGCTATCCCTACAGTGTGGCCCTTATCCTCACAGTTCAAAATGGCAGCTAGAGCACCAGCCACCACAACCACATTCTAGTCAGCAAGATTTAGGAAGGGTTGAAGAGCAAAAAACAGCTGCCTTTTAAGGAAAGTTGTCAGCAGCTACCAAATGATACTGCTGCTGACATCTTATCGACCAGGACTTAGACACATGAGCACATCTAGCTACAAGTTGAGGCTTAGACAAGTAGACTATATTCTGTGAGGCTCTGTGCCCAGTTTCAAATCAAGGCTTCTACAGAAAAAGAGAATGGATATTGGGGGACAACGAGTGAGATCTGCCACACAGCCAAACTGACAAGGCTGACTTCAAATTCTGCACTCTTAGTGGCATAAGTAACATGCTTAGCCCTACAGACTTGCCCCTAGAATCTGGAGGAAGAGATTCCCCTTTAAACATGCAGACAGCCGAAGGTGTCAAGTGGCCCCTGCCATGGCCTATTCACGGAAGAGGATGAAAGGGATTGGCGACTGGAATGGAACTGGGGTTGATGAGTCAGTCCGCCTAACCAGCGGCTCGAAGAGCACCCCAGGGTGAGTGAGTGAGTGAGACGGGGGTCCCACTCCCAGAAGAAGGAGCCAGAGACGAGACAGAAAAGTGCAGACAGCACCAAGGGAAGGGGAGCTTCATTAGCAATGAAGGACCAAGTAAGTGAAGAGTTGAAAGGAATTACTTTCAACAGGCTTTAGTGTAGAAACCAGTGTTCTCAAATATGCAGAGAGATCTAGACAAGAATTTGGAAAACAGAAAGAAGAAAAAGTATCAGCCAGAGTTCTGTCATCCATACACCACTTTTGGAATACTTCTTTCTGGCCTTTTGGTTTCCTTTGAGCAGTATTTTGCTTTCTTTTTCAGCATAGTTGCTGTAAAAAGTGTACTGATAGGTATTTCAAGCTCGGTCTTTTTCACGTAACGTGAATTCATGAGCATTTTTCATGTTACGACGTGCTCTGTGAAGGCCACACTGTGAGCTGGGTAGGCCTGTGGGCCCTGACGCGGCTCCTTCACAGCTGGAGTCTATCCAAGTGTGGGGGAACCACGGGTAAGCTACTGAACATCACTTTGCTCATTCTCTTCATCTATGAAGGGAGAAGAAATAATCATGAGGACAGTCACACTACCTCAGAGAGCTGTTCTGAGGGTTAAATAATTCAGGTAATGAGCTAAGAGCAGCTCCACGTGAGCTCTTATCATTTGCATCTAGAATTTATGTGGTTACACAAGATTCCCACCAGTGGACATCTCATCATAAGCATCCCCCTGTGACTGAGCACTTGGCTAATTCTGTTTGCCGCTATGACCCGGCTTGAAACAGTGCAGTGCATTTCTCCCTTTATATTTAGGACTCTCACTTAATGCAATGTCTTAAAAGTCATATATTTTGGAACATTTTATTTAAGTTAGGTTGTAGGTATACGGTATTCATTATATTCTTTTTTTTTTAATTTTTTAAAATTATTCTTTTTTTTTTAGATTGGCACCTGAGCTAACAACTGTTGCCAATCTTTTTTGGGTTTTTTTCTGCTTTTTCTCCCCAAATCCCCCTGGTACACAGTTGTACATTTTTACTTGTGGGTCCTTCTAGTTGTGGCATGTGGGACACTGCCTCACCATGGCCTGCTGAGCGGTGCCATGTCCGCGCCCAGGATCTGAACCAGTGAAACCCTGGGCTGCGGAAGCGGAGCACGTGAACTCAACCACTTGGCCACCAGGCTGGCCCCTATATTCTTATCTACATATAATTCTCTCCAGCATGTCTAAAATATTTCATTAAAAAACTACACTCAATGAAAAAGAGTAAGACAGGCATTTAGTAATCAAATGTTTATATACAAAAGTGGCAGAGGGGGCCGGCTTCGTGGCCGAGTGGTTAAGTTCGCACGCTCCACTGCGGCAGCCCAGGGTTCGGATCCTGGGCGCAGACATGGCACTGCTCATCAGGCCACGCTGAGGCGGCATCCCACATCCCACAACTAGAAGGACCTGCAACTAAGACATACAACTATGTACGGGGGCGGGGGGGGGGGGGTTTGGGGAGATAAAGCAAAAAAAAAAAAGTGGCAGAGAAGGAGTCATATACTCCACTTTTAAAGTGAGACAAAGGACTGACTTACCTGAGAATTGACTAAATGACAAAGATGGGGCCTTCATGGCTCCTCCCACTCTAACCACAGGCACCTGCTGGCTTACGCTCACCACTGCTCACACTCTCCCCACTCCAGCTACAAGTTACGCTCCAGGTTTCTGAAACATGCCTCGCATTTCCCGTCTGTGCCTCCACTTGACTTGCTTCCTCTCCTACAACATACTTTCTGCTCCAGGTTTCTGAAACATGCCTCGCATTTCCCGTCTGTCCCTCCACTTGACTTGCTTCCTCTCCTACAACATACTCTGTGCTCCATCTCAACCTGCCAAAATCCTACCAGCTGTTCAAGGTTTGGTTCACCATTTCCAAAATAACTCCCTCATTATAGTGTGGTGTGATAACAATAGTGACGCTCGCATGGCATCCCCAAGGCCACCACAGAGCCTCTCCAGGTATGACTGTAAGGCTCTCTCACCTCACTCTCTGTGAGGCTCTGTGAAGTGGCCAAGGGAAGCCAAGGCCTCATTCCTCCCGTTGGTCAGCCCGAGCCTGGAATCCCAATCCTTCTTTACTCCACCCCACACCCCTTGCCAGGGAGCCAAACCCACAAGCAAACACTTAGCATCTTCTCTTTGGGACTTGGGGAGTGACTGATGGTTGGTGTCAACAAAAATAATGTAGCCCAAAGACAAGTGACAAAAGTGTGCAGAACCCTGTCAAACAGTTTTCCTCTGTAATAATTACTATGAGATTCTGGTTCATGAGTCCAGGCACAGACATTATTCCTGCTGGTGCCCCTCAGCAACATGAAATTCAGACACTCTCAGGAGTCCCACACTCATTAACACAAGGACGGCAAAAGAACTTCCAGAGTAGAAATAAGTGCTTATGAATAGCCATAAAATTGTTCTTTCCATGCTTTGGAACCTTTGCTGAATGACCATGACAAAACATACATAAACATACACACACAGACACACTCCACTTAAAATCAACATAAGAATAAATAAATTAAAAAATAAAGACCTTCAAGAGATATTTTAAACAAGGGTCTCCTTTCAGGTCATAGCTGATTTTACTTTCTACATGGAGTACGGATGGCCACGGGCTAATTAACTCTTTGACTGCAAGCACTCGAACTGCTTCTTTCTTAGCCCTCGGTTACTTGATTGTTACCATGGAAGGCAACATACTCCAGAAATGCCCAAGTCAACCAGTAACTGGTTTCTAAAGTCTCAAAGACATTTCCTTCCCAACACTGACCTGGCCCAACACAGAGGCCACGACCTTCACCTCAGAAGCTATAGTTCAAGCACGACTTCCCGTCAACCTGTGACTCCTCACAGGTCGCCTCAGCACGGCCAGGACCTCACCTCACCTACATCACACACACACTCGCTTGGAAACTCTGCCCTGGTTAGTGATGGAGGGAGACTGCAGGGATAAGCCGGGTGTTGATCTTTTCATTTGCAGAAGAAGATGAGCTTCTTTCTCAGGGTGTGCTGCAGACAGACGGAGTACCTCTCCTTAGCAGACACTGTGCTGTTCCAGTCATACACGTAGCGGTGGAGGTCAATGTGCAGTTCCAGGATGGGGCGTCTTCTGGAGGGAATGAGAAAGGCAAAACTTATGTCATGCAAACATCAAAGAGAGAGGAGACAGACCGTCTTTGGGGCGACATGAGCCAACAGATGTGAAAGCGCTTTGAAATCATTCCTTTCCAGATGCTCCACAAACTGCTCAGGGACTGATCCAAACCAGCTTGCAGCACCCTGGCCTGAGGACCACAAGCCCTCCCCAAGAGGCAACTGAGTTTTACTCTGGGGACACCAGCTAGATGATAACCCACCTGGATCGTCTATGCAAGTGTAGGGTGGATGTAAAAGGCCAATGATACCACAGGCCTATGGAGCGTCTACCTTGGCAGATGGAGTCCCTTCTGCTCCAGCCTCTCCTGTACTACTGAACCACCGCTGAGGGGGGCTGGGGGGGGCTGAAGGGTGTGGGCAGGGTGATTGATTCTTGGGATCCCCAGAGCTACAACAGAATGCATTTCACAGGTGGCTCAGAAACCATCATTCTAAATTGCAATTAGGGGACAGGGGGAAAAGGACTGCTAATCTTATAGTTAATTAATTAAGCTTCACTCAGCTTAAATGGAAACCAGGTCACTAATGTTTCCCTTAGAAAAGTATTCTTGCTAATAAGCTTCAAAAATGTCTATATAATGAGGGGCCAGCCTGGTAGTGCAGCGGTTAAGTTCGTGCACTCTGCTTTGGCGGCCTGGGGTTTGCCAGTTCGGATCCCGGGCACAGACCTATGCACCACTTATCAAGCCACGCTGTGGCAGGTGTCCCACATATAAAATAGAGGAAGATGGGCACAGATGTTAGACCAGGGCCAATCTTCCTCAGCAAAAAGAGGAGGATTGGCAGTGGATGTTAGCTCAGGCCCAATATCCCTCAAAAACAAACAAACAAACAAAAAGTCTATATAATGAAAACCTGCAGACCTGAACAGTCAGGCACCATTTTTCACCTATCAAACTGTCAAGACTGGGGGAAATAAAAGAGCAGGCAGTGCTGGTGAGAACCATCTTCAGGGATGCAGGCATTCCTGTACCAAGCTGGAGTAACTGTCTGAGAGCACCATCCAGTAAGATGCATCCAGGGTTTTAAAAATGCATGTTGCTTAACACGATAATTCCACTTCTGGGAATTTTTCCCAAGGAAACAATTATGGATAAACACAAATACAAAGAGACAGAACACTTTATTTTTGCAAAAGCAAAGCACTGCCCAACGACTAAAGACTGGTCAAGCAAAGGATGCTGTGGCCCTTTTATGGGCTTCTCTGCAGACATTAAAATGATGCTGTAGAAATGTGACTACAGACACGTAACAATGTTATCTGATAAATTACAAACTAAAAGCAGGTTACAAAGTAATGGGGGATGATGGTTCCATTTTGGCTTACCAAGCATATTTGTATATGATTGTGTGGGGATCCAAAAAAGATAGGGAAGACGATACACCAGGATTTGGTTAACAGAGGTTGGTTCTCCTAAGAAGGATTACAACTGCTTATTACGTTCTGCTTTCAGCATCTATATTTCCTGGTATGTTTCAATAAGGAGGAGAGTATTGCTTTTGTAATAAGAAAAAAACCAATCAAAAATGTCTTCGTTTTGAAGAAAAATATCCAAACTACAAGTTGACTAGTGAGTGACCTCCTGAAGCAGGAAGCATTCATAACTGTGCAGGGTCTATATCTTACTCCTGAGGAACCCAACAGGGAATGAAAACTCATCCCTCCTCCCTGGAGAAGGGTGCAGAGGGAGCCTCCATCGTGGCAGCAGGAGAACAAATAAGTGGTCCAGGGCTCGGCCCGGCCGGGGTGGCTCACCTCTCTTGCCACAGTTTCTGGGAGAGGCACTGCAGGTACACCGACGGGGAGCTGGTGGGCCGCTCCAGCAGGGACACGTTGGCTCGGCACAGGCTCCAGAGGAAGTCAGCCTCTCGGTGAAGCGTGCAGGGCTCAGGTGGTCTTGCCCTGGACTCCACATGGTTCACCACTGGCCCGTCCACCTCCAGGACACTGCTGTCCTCCAGCTGGCTCTCTGACACCACATAATTCTGAATAAAAAAGAGCTTTGGCTTCCCTAACAGAGAAGGGCATGAATCTGCCATGAACATCCTCCTGATCTGGTCCAAGGGGAACCCTGAGTGCGTCGGATCCACGCCAAAAACGCTCTGGGAGTCCCCTCGGCTCACCAGGACACACACGAAGCTGTCGTAGTCTTGGTGCTGGGGCATGCAGGCAACTTTCTTAAGATTCTGCCTTATATCGTCCACGCTCAGATACAAGAAAGACTGGACTTCATAGCCCAGGGAGGTGAAGGTGTCCCGAAGAATCCCTGGGAAAAAACCACACTGAGTAAGAAAAGCTCCAACGGCCCAGGGTAGCAATCCTAAGATGTTCTGATCTCCACCACTGATCTGTTCCTGCTTTTGTCATATTCTGAGGCTCTGAAGGACCCGAGAACAGGGGGGAAGGGCTCGAATCAACCTGCAACAGGAAAAGTGTGACTTGTACATGCTGGATTCCCAGATACTGTCTGTCCCCTGTCACACCACTTTGCGTTCCTGAGGCCACCATCACATCTGGCCATAGATACAGGCTGAGCCCACTTCTAGTTCAGTCCAACCAAGAGGGGAACAAAACCCTTTCTCTTCAACCACAACAAAGCTGGGGATTGTTCAGAAGGCTCTTTCTTAAAATAACACATGAATACATAGGAATGGAGGCATTTGCAGAGCACAGACCCAGACCTGGATCCAAATGGCTGCAGAAAGGGTGGCGCAGGTCATGAGTTCCCTCACATCCACCAGCTGTGGGCTGAGACGGAGGTCCCTGGATCTATGCTGGGACCATTTCCAGACTCCCCAGTTCCTCTCATGACCTGCTTCCCAGTCTACCTCTGACTGAGCAGTGGGGTCCTGGACCAAGATTCCCCTCTGTGCCCCCAAAGATTCTCCTCCTAGTTTCCAGGACTCCTGGATTGACTTTGCCTCAAGAAGCAGTGTAAGGCAGTGGAAAAAGTAGACTTCCTGTCAGACAAGCCTACCTCCTAATGCTGACCTTACCACACCCATGGCTGCATGACCTTAAGGAAGTGGGTGTCCCTAGCTTTAAAGGGAAGTGATGATCCCCACTCTCTGAGAATGCTCCTGGTACTCAATAAAAATTAGTTCCTAGTCCCTTTTAAAAATCTTTTTGTCTGTCTTCTAGAAGTTTCTATGGCCTAAGAACCCTAGAAACCCTACCCAGTCCACTTCTTTCTCATTTGCTCAGTTTTCCTTCACTGGAGGAATAAACACAGAATTGTTTTATCTTCTGATAGGAAAGAGAGACATCTTTCTCTTCCTCATTCAAAAATTCCACATCCTTTTGAGCCATCCACTAAGTTTCTGTTCCCTGTCTGCGGGATGCCTCCAGTTCCTAGTTCATTGGGGGCAGAAAAACTGTTGTCCTAAGCCCAGAGGCTAAACACACATCTCCTGATTCAGGCTATCACCCAAACAATCAGCCCACTTCTCTGGATTTTTCCCCATGTCTCATGGCTGTGTACCCACCCCACCTCCTCCCCTGGGGTGTGGTTCCAGAAGTCTCCCACTGCATTCACCACAAACCAAACAACACAGTCGTACTTAGAACAGGTATAGCTTCCACTACAGAACAAAAGGGCCCCATCTCATACCAGTTTCGGCATCGAAAAAAGGGATCAGGGAGGTAAATAACTGAAGGTACCACATAACTGTCGACTACAAATTCTCAATCCTCTACAGTATGTGGGAACAAGATGAAGTCTGCATGGGCACACATAATTCAGAAACTCACAGCTTCAACCAATAGTTTCGGCCTTCTCGCCCTGCAAACTTTACCGACCTCTAATAAACTATAAAAGTGAAAGTAAGCAATCGCAATTTCTTTCCTGGCTCCTTCGCAGGAAATAGGGAAAAGGGAAAAGGTAGAAAAAGAAACAGCCTCGGGTACATAAAAAGCTGGAACAACCAGCCACTGGACGAGTAAGAGCTGGTCTGAGTGCTCTCAGTTTAACTGACCCGCCCATGAGGAGCATCAGTGCACATTCACACAGGGCCACGCAGAAGACCTGGGTTTAACTGGGGCCCCACATCCCACCGGAGGCAACGGGTTTAATAGGTCAATGAATTCTTCGACACTCCTCCCTTAAAAAGATAGAGTGTAACCCCTCCCCTTAAACGTGACCACACTCAGAAACCCATTCCTAATGAATGGAATGAGGCAGAAGGGCTGCCACGTGACTTGCAAAGCTAGATGACAAAAAGGAGACAGCTTCCTTGTGGCTCCTTCTCTCTTTGGAAGAGCTCACTCGGGGAAGCCAGCTGCCATGTCGTGAGAACACGCAGGCAGTCCCGTGGGAGGCCCACAGGAAGGAGAACTAAGGCCTTGCACCACCTTCCCAGCCACGTGAGGCAGCCCCGGCAGCCTGTGGACGACCACAGCTGACGTCTGACCACATGTCTGGAGACACGGGGCCAGAACAGCCCAGCTGAGCCACTCCTCAATTCCTGGCCCACAGAAACAGTGAGAGAGAGAAATACATTCGCATTGCTGTCTGAAGCCACTAAATTTTGGAGGGATTTATACATATTATTAGATAATTATTCACCATGTAAGTCTAGAAGAGGGAATGATAATCACAACGACTTAAGACTGTAGTTAGGCTGCTTACTTTTCTCCTCTGCCTGACCCACAGGGAAGGGTGGAAACACTGCATGACATACCACGTGTCAGTGAAGAGATAAAGGAGGTGCCGATCTCCTCGAAATCCTATGATAAATAAGGATTCCCCGGGAAATGATACACAGGTTGCTGCTGACCTCGTAAATAACTTGCCTGTCCTCACAGGCTTGCAGTGCAATAGAAAAGGCGCAGCAGCACTGCCCCTGGCCATCAGCTCTAGGGCCACAGGAAGGCCTTGGTCCCCAGGACGGCGCTCAGGCTGAAATCCAGGACTGCACAACGAGAGAGCCCGGACTCGGACTCCAGTCTCACCACTACTGTGTGATTCCAAACTCGCTTTCAGGACTCACGGTCTCTAATCATGGAGTGTTCTCTCCTGAAGGGGGCAGAGGCAGCCAGGGACACCTGACTCAAAGCTCTCCTTGAATTGTTATGGCAGCCTGGTTCACTTCCCTCAAGACCCTCTCTTCAACTGACAGATTTCCTCCCTTATCGAAGTCCTTGGAAGAAAGCCACGGTCTCCCTTTCCATGCTGATATGATACGCAAGGGTCTGACGGAACAAAGCTGTCCTGTCCCGTCTAGCGCTTTCCGTGACCTGGGCTTCCTGAGGTTCCGGCTGAAGCAGCGCTGCCACACAGCAGCGGGCAGCCACTGTGTGGTGCCGAGCCACAAAAGAACCACAAGATCTGAGTGGAAGTCCTGGCTCTCCACCTGCTTGCTGGGTCTGACCTCGCCTGGCCCTGCAAGAGAACTAACTCACACACGCTGAGGGGCTTAAGAAGGGGATGGGAATGTGAGGTCTGGGGCAGGAAGTCCTTACCTAACAGAACAGGAGAAAAAAGGCTAAAGCTGGAGGTGAAGCCAAAAACCATACAGGCCCCCAATGCCAAGAAGAACACCAAATCTGGATGGGCCCCAGACCAAGATGGAGCAGCCCTTAAATATCCCTCTGGCAACACAGTCACTCAAGAGACGCAGCCTGAAGTCATCGCAGCTGACATTGCCCATTAATACCCATCCTTCCTCTATCAGATGGTGAGGGCTGATGCTAGCTGGCATCTGCAACTTTCTCTCTTGGACATGCAAGAACTTGGATACAGCCTCACCTAATTTATAGGGTCACAGGGGCAGTGACAGTGTGACTTTGAACAAGTTATAGCCGCCTTAATTTATTCATCTATAAAATGGGGTGAATACTAATGCCTATCCCATATTCTTCAAAAGGCAGCGGTGAGATCCAAAGAATGGGATTTCTGTAAAGATGCTTTGCAAACTGTGAGTGCTTATTCAAATATAAGATATTAATTTTAAATAAAATAAAGCCAGCCATTTCAAACCACGAATAACAGAGCCTGCGGTGCGTCTCTCAGGGAGCCTACCATTTCAGAAGCCAGAGGGGGGCCTCTGGAGCCTAAACTAAAATGGGCTCAGAGCGGTCAGAGTGTGCATCCCATACGTCACAGAAACTTCCTTGTCCTTTCCCGCAAATAAAGGAAGAAGAACTTGGGTGATGAGTTTGGAAAACGCAACTTCAACGAATTGCTAAAGTCCCACTTCTCCTGCCCACCCTGGAAACTCCCACTCCTGACTTGCCATCTCTCTCTGAACTGTTCTTTAGAAATCAACCTCCTGAAACGAGGAGGGTCTCCCTCAGTTAGGACAGGGGTGATAGTGAAGGGCTGGGGTCAGCTCTACCCACAGGTTTGGGGACTGTCAAGATGAAACCCCCAAACTAAATGCAATAAAAGGTCCTGACCTCATTCATTTAGAATCTGTTTTGATCTAAAACGAACGTACATTTATCTTGACACTATCTGTGAAAGGGGGTCCATTAAATAAACATATGGACTGAACACGAAGGAGGGAAGGCTTCATCGGTCTGTTCGCAATCACTGAGCACCCTTAATAAGCCCAGCTCTAATTACTATAAAGCACATGGGTGGACCCCAAGCTCCGCAGGATAATCTTAATGGTGAGGGGAGTTTCCGAGGAAATCCAGTCAGAGAAGGAAAGATGAGCGCAGTTGAGACACCTGGCGATGAGATTATCAGAAAGGTCTAATTTAAGCTCAGGCCCGAAAACACAGGGCAAAAAAAGGCCCCCGGGTGGGGAGATGATGAGAAGCAAAAACAGAGAGAAGAATGAGTGAGCGTGGAGCGGGGCAGCGGGGCCTCGTATAAATCCAACTTTTCATTTGTTCAGACAGACCAACTAAGGGGGGTTTGCTGGACAACCCATATATATGCTAAATTATAAACTACTGTTTAAATGTCTTCTTTTTGAGCACAAATGATTACTAGTAATGCATGCTGGACTAGCTCTTCTTAAGAGAAAATAATATCAGTAATAAACAGGTGAACTGCATATCAATCAAGAGAGGCTTCTGGGGTATCTGAGGCAGCCTGGGAGTACTTTGCTCTTCCACATATCCACAGCTCCTTATCCTCAATTCCAAAGCCCTTGAAGCTCCAAAAACCTTAAGTTCTTTCCCCCAATTCATTTTGTGGCAAAGCCTTTCCTGAACTGATGAGAGGCTATTTATAGTCTTTACCTATCCCAGGTAGCGTGCACATCCATTCATTTCGGGGTGCTGCTCTAGACCCCACCGGAGTGTTCTATAAATTACCGCATATGCACCATGTCATCTTTCTGAAATACAAGGGTCTCCAATAAGGGATTGCGGACCTATCACTCTTATTTAGACCCTAGATTTATGCTCTCTGTGAAAAAGGGTTGGCCACGTAGCACAGCCTGTGGGGGACCCTGAGTTAAAGGAAATTTCACTAGTGATGCTAGGTTCCCAAATGAATGGCTGCTGAGTCCCAGAGGATAAAAATGCCCAGGAAAAAAGGTGCCCTCCACAGACTTCCTGGTCTTGTGCCCCAGGAGGATGTCATCTTTAACAGACATTGATCCCAGGAGAGCAAGGAGGGGACGTTCTGCTTCCCCAGCACTGAAGCTGATAGGTAGCATGTGGCCACTGCTCCATCTGACGAGGCCTCCACCTACCACCTTGGATGTCACTCACTACTTGTCATCACAGCTCAGGAGCTGTGACCACAGTGGGCACTCTGACTCTGTGCTGATATTTTCCTACAAACGTTAGTACAGGAAAATGCTAATGATTTCAGTTGCTGCCCATTCCATTACGGGAAAGAGGGGGAAAGAGGCCAGTAACCCTGAGGAGTAGCCGAGCTCGGGGCAGCATGGCCCACAAAGCGTCTCCACTCTCTGCTCTGGCTTTCACGACTTCTGTGGCTCTGCTGGAAGAGAAGTTTATTTATGCAAGATTTATGAGGGAAATGTGCAGCATCTGCTAGAAAAATCCAAGTCTTAGCCTGGCTAAGAGTACAGAAAAATCTTCAAACTTTTCAGAAAGAGCAAGGGAGAAAAGAGAGGAATGAACACTTCCTCTCAAAATCTGCAAACATCATCTTTTATTCAGAAGCCTACAAAACCAGCTAGAGCTGTCTGTGACGTGAGACTTCCGTTTCCCCATTCCTCACGGGATCAAATGTCCAGCGCTACTTCAGGGCAAGCGAATCAGTGCCGAGCACAGGCCTAGCTTTGCTGGGTTTCTGACACAGACGACACAATACCAAAGACTTATTTTTTAATTCTACCCATCTGAGATAATTAGCCCCAAATCCTTAAGCTTCTATGTCTGCTCCAAGAAGAGGTTACTGACTCGAACAAGCCACCAAAAAATAAGCTTATCTTTGTTCACAATGCGGCTCTGAGACCAGACTCCACCTTGTTGTCTCCACACTTGCTCACACAGGGCCGAGCGTGGTGTTCGCACAATGGAGGTGTTCAGGAAACATTTATGGGATAAAGGAACAGTAAATGTGTAAGTGTCTGGGGGACTTGCATACTCTTTGGATAAAAGTCTCATTTTTTTGAGGACGGGAGAAGAGAGGTATACAAGTCTGATACATTCTATAGATACAAAAGAATGTTCTGAGAAACCCCGAGACCACAGAGCTTATTCCTCACACGTTCCCCCAACAAACATTTATGGAGCTCCTCTGTGCCAGGCACTGCTCCAGCTACTGAAGACACGCTGTCAAGAGACGGGCAAGCTCCCCGGGAAACTACATTATAGCAACAGAGCTTTCAAACCCTGCTCTATCAGTTACCAGAGAAGTTAGGAAAGGAGTTCACTGGCTCTGCCGGCCCACCCTGAAAATGAGGATAACAGTACCTATCCTTCAATATTACTTATGAAGATTAAGTGAGAATCCATGTAAAGGAATTAGCAAACTACCTGGCACATGGTAGATTTGAGTAAATTCTACCCTCTGATCACTACCATGCCCAAGTTAGTCCTAACATATTACCGTCAGCTTCTTTCAGAGCCCTGTTCAGTCGTCAATAATGTTTATCACCAAACTCCTGCCCTCCTCCCAAATGTTCAGCATGAAGCAAATGACAGAGTTATCTAGGCAAGAGTCAGAAGAAACCCCGCATAATCACCCGTGATGGAGCTAAGGTGGAAACAAGAAATGCAGAGTGCTGCCTGGAACGCAGACCACCCGTCAACCAAAGCGGGAGTCCAGGCCTGGAGTCCCCAGGGAAAAATCGCCAGGAGGGGAGTTGGAAAATGAAGAGCTGGGGGCCTGGAGAGAGTGTGAGAAGAGGCAACTGTCTTCCACTTCATTTTAATTAACACCCTCCTGCCAGCCTGAGTCTCAGCTGGGCGTATGAATGGATTCAGGACCCCTGAGCTGAGAAAAATCACAACAAGATGGGAGTAAAAGTGTGTTGACCTGCTTCTTACCTGTCAATCGGCCACCTGAGTGGCCTCAAGCCTAGTTATTTGCTTTGTTCCCAGAGGCCGGGAGGGCTTGAGTCAAGGAAGCTGTATGAACACACCTCAGGCCAATACCTGCTCGCACCTCAGGCCCCAGGCTCCACTTCCAATTCCACCCTCCTGTCGATCTTTCTCTGGTCAGGTCTTGCCACTCCCTGCCCTCCCTCGCCCTGACTTTTGTACTCAATCCTCTTTCTCCACCAAACCCATTCATAATGACGACTGGTAGGAGTGGCCTGTCCAGCTTTCCACCTGGGTATTTCCCTGGAACTTACCCCCTCTCTGGGGTTAGCCCCTCCGTTCCAGTTACTCCCAGCCTGTAGGGAGCTGCCCATGTCTCCTGAGCCCAGCACAGGCCACAGGCCCCCAGTTCTCTCGTCCGTCACCCGTCTGGGATCAGACTCCACAGGCCAAGCACAAAGTCATGGCAAGTTCTAGCTTAGTGGTCTGCAACTAAAATTAAACAAAGTGGGAAAATGATGTTAGCTGGCATTTCTATGTGCTTATGGTGTGCCAGGCACTGCTCTAAGCCCTTCACAGGTACAAACTCCCTCACTCCTCCCACCCTTCCTACAAGGTACATCCTGTTATTTACCAATTTTACAGAAGAGAAACTGAGCCATAGAGAGGCTAGGAAAACTGCCCACGGCTACAAGCTAGGACATAGCAGGACCATGATCCAAACACACGCAGTCATATTCCAGGGCCCAACTCTCACCATGCTCCTTTAATGCAGAAAAATACAAACATGCACTCCCGCCCTGCCCATGAGGCCCACGACTTGGCGAGGGAAGCAACACAGATCCTGGGCTTTAGCCACAAATTCACGGCAGGTCAAGGCTTTAACTTTACAATTCTCTCCATACAACAGACATACACCCTGCACCAAAGGCAGCTGGGAACTGTCTGCTGGTGAATGAAGCAGAACTGACTGCAACCGGAAGTAGAGGACAATTGTACAATCTATTTTAAAGCAGGAAGTTACTCACTGAGAAAACATTTCCTCATTTTCATATAGGTACTAATGGCTAAAAAAAGAAAGAACACATCTATAGCTGAGGAGATAGCAGCTCTCACAATTAACCAAAAATAGGACATGAGAAGGTGAGATCATAGCTGAAATCCTGGGAAATACAGTCTAGCATTTGCTAACTTGACCTTCTCTCACATCTTCTTCTCATAAAACTCACCATGGTAACATTTTAAGTGAGCCTAAAAGATGTTCCGGCTCATTCTAAGAGAACACTGAGAAGCTGGAAAACAGTGGAAATATAATCAATCCTTTCAAAGAAGAGATAAATAATTGAACATAATGTTACTCCACTTATCTAGATTCTTCTCATTCCGTTTTGATGCATCACCAGTGACTGACTCAGTTTGAGTCAGACATCCAACAACAATTGAGCAAAAGAATTGATTCAGATCCAGACAACGGTGACACACAGGTACCCAGGCCCACAGCCAAAGTACAGGGTGGCAGAACTAAGGGACACGTTGCCTCTGAGTGAGTACACATTTATATTTTTAATATTCCCCGGAAAAGCTTCCAAAGTTTATCCAGGGGAAATGGTGGGGATCTGATAACACTGAAGCCAGAAAGCCTTCCATTTTAAGGCCTGTGGATCCCAGGACCCCTCCCTGCCACAGCATCCAGCACAGAAAGGCAAGACTAAAGCTCCTCAACTTCCACAAATTATGCCTCGGTGCCAGAGACAATGCTGTGTGTTCCCTGAGTCCCCTTTCCTTTTCCTCCTGACACACAGCCAGACTAAGTTCCCTGTCCACTGCAGTTAGGTGGGGCCACACAAGTGAGATCTGACCAATGGAATGTGGGTGGTGATGATGTATCACTTCCACAACTGGCCTCTAAAATCTCTTGAGATCTTCCATGCACTTCCTTCACCCACCAGCCAGATACAGAGGCTCTAGGGGAAAACTCCAGGCCTCAGATGACAAAGCCACATGGCACAAAGCGCCCCCAAGACCAACCCACACTAGACTGTGACGTGAGTGGGAAACTACCCTTTGTGTGTGAAACTACAGGTGTGGGCAGTGGTCGGTCACAGCAGCTAGTATTGGTCACTCTGATGAAGACAGCTTGCCTGTGTCGTGATCTCATTGCAGGGGCATCAGTCAACCTGCGGCTTCCACACCTACCCGTGTCATTGCCGATGCAGTCAATTATCAGGCAGATTCCTAGAGGCTTGCTCTGCATCTTGTATCTCTGTTCTGGTATGTGCTGGGAAGGAAAGGAGGGATTGTTAAAGACCCTGGACACTGCTGACACCACAAGGTCCCACTTATCTTCCACCTTTTCTTTCGGATTTCCTTAAACATCACTTTGGTAGGTCAGTGAATCAAACAGAAACTGTCTGAAGTCATCACAGCTGACATTTCCCATTAATATCAAATTTGTCCTCTCTTCGGATAATGCGCTTAAGACAAACAAACTACTTCAGTTTTTATTTAATTTTAATGAAAACTGCAGTCTCTTTATACGTGTCTTAGCTTTGCAGGATAAAAATAATTTTTTCTTATCAGCTGAGAAGAAAAGTGCCACTTTGGAATCATTCCGCGTTCACTAATGCAACGCACTTTAACCAGGTTCCCCTCGAGAAGGGTTCTCAGGGAACAGTGCGCTCAGCATCCTGCTGTCACAAACAATTCGTAATGGACAGATATTCTCAACGAAGTCAGTGTTCTCCACAGATACTGTGCATACAACACAAGAACAAATCAGCTCATTGATTTTGTACCTGAGGCAAAAATGCTCCTGATTCCTGAACAGATGTCTTCACTGGTTCTGTGGGATGAAAGAGAAATTATTTACAAAGCTGAAAGAGAACTAGGCCCACCTCTATGCTGGCTGAGTTTATATCACAACTGTTCACGTCTTCCCCCTACTGACTCTTCTTTCCTCAGCTATATTCAGCCCCAAGGTTCCAACCTCACACTGAAAATCCCAACTGATAAGAAAACACAAGTCCCCATGCTAAGCAGGGGTTATGCAGAAAAACCGCTTAAAGGGCAAGTGAAAGAAGGCTCTCCCTTGTCCTTCTCCAGGTGAGGACTAGGTGAGCCTTTAGCCTGATAGGAGAAGCTCACAACCTCACCACCGAACAATATCAACAGCTTTCCTGCACGTGCTGAAACTGGACAAGGCCTAAAGGAGACAGCCTGACAGCCCGCAGAGGAGAGAAAGGGAAAGAGAAAGCGTGGGTTCCCCACTGACAGACAGATGGCCACGTCTTCTTAGTCCAGGGATACTGGGAGATCATAAAATAAAATGTCAACAGCAAGATAGGGGACAGAGAGCTCAGCAAATATAGATGAGCCGAAAGCAAATTTTGTTAGATAAAAATGACTTTATTGGCCCTGAGAGGTGGAGAAACCACCAGTTCTAAAGCCATAAAGGGCTGGCTCAAGCCCTAGCACCATTGCTGACACACTCTGTGATCTTGGCAAATTTCTTCCTAAAGTCTCAGGGTTTTCTTTTATTAATCTCTAGGATGAACATACCAATATCTACTTTATGACTGCTGCAAAAATGAGAAATAATGTCTAAAGACAGGGAAAGAAAATGCCAGTAGTGGCAAGGTGTGGGGTAAATGAGCACTTTCAAAGGCTAATGCCATATAAGTCGAAACAGTCTTTTTAAAGGAGAACTAGCAATACCCTTTAAACCAATATTCTGCTTCTAGAAGTTTATCCTAAGGAAATAATGGAGCAAGTGTGCAAAGATGTCAACTATGAATGATGGTTTATAACGGCCCCAAACTAGAAAGAACCTAGGAGTCTACCAACGTAAACTGGCTAAATAAATTACAGTAAGGATAATGGAATATTATGCAATGTTAAAAGGATCAGAGAGATCTTTACGTATTTGACGTGAAAAGATATGCAGGATATATTAAGTGAAAAACGGATTACTGAATAAAATGTGTAATATGGATCCAACGTACTTAAAAATACGTATTTGTGCACATACACTTACACATGTATACGCTAAAAAGTAAGAGTCTAGAGGTATATAAATCAAACCTTAGCAGTGGCTGTGTCTGCTACTCGGAATTAAGAGGATATTCACTTTATCTTTTGTATTTTAGCAGTCATGGATTGGCAGAGTAAACACGCATACAAAGTAATCTACATAACATGCCTATCTCAGTTTAATGCACGTAGAGCTTAGTAAATTGTAGTAACCATCATCACCGCCATCACCGTCATTCAGCTGAAATCTATTTGGAAGTCCCAATTAATATGGAAACTTGGTTTGATTATTTTAAATTTCTATCAGGTTAAGGCCAAGTTATCAGAATGCTTTTTTCTTTTATCAGCAAATAAACCATGTCCGGGCAAAAGCAGGTACCCAGCTCTCCTAAGGATCACCAGGGGGTCGGGAGCCTCTTCACCTCACCTGTGTAACTACAGTCAAGGATAAACCTGCCATCACAGAGCGTGGCAGAAAGCACACCGATTGTTTTAAATTCCTATCCACGTCTACCAGGTTTCCTATTTTTCCCTTTAAACAGCTTTCAGAATGCTAATTCTTACCACCTCACCAGTGTCTTAAGAAACATGCTGTCACTACAGGAATTAATTCGCTTCTCAAGAGCTTTTGCTGGACAGTGGAATTTTAGGCAGAGAACAGGAGGCATGAGCTATGCCACCTCGCTAATTTGGGCAAAAATGCTTCTCAGTTTCCAGGTGCACGCGGACGGCACGTGGGCTGAGTCAGAAGATTCTGGCAAAGGGCCTGCCACACAAAGGCGGCTTCCATCAGGCCACCGCCGTACTCACAACAGGCGCAGTCCCCACGGCACGCGGGACGAGGCCAAGCTCCTCAGGTAAGACTGAGCCCTCCTTATCCACCTCCAGGTCTGGAGCACAGCCATCCCCACCGCAGAGCGAGACTGAGTCCCAGCCCTCACTTCAAGGAGGACTCAAGACAAGCAAAAGAAATACACTCTTAAAAACGATGAGATCAAGTGCCGATGTTTTAAAAGAGATGAGAGACAGCGTATGGGTTGAAATTACTGGTTTTTTATTATACTTTTTTTCTTTCTTTTTAGGGGAGGGAGAACCTCATCTGTAGCGTATCTAGATTCATTAAACGAGCTAGAAAACAAGACTGCATAACCTTTCTTCATCCAGCTGCTGGATATTTGGCTTCATGTGGCTCATTTTCATGGCTAGATTAATGTTCAACTTGGCCTGGTTATAATTCCACTTCAGATATAAATGTCACATCTCTTAAAAAATACAGCCAAGGTGATGAAGCTGACAGAGTAAGAGGTGTTTACATTCAAATAAGCTAATTCAATAGACAACCAGAAAAGCCAATGAACACATTTTAAGGAGTTTAATTGCTTTATATTTTGAGAGCTTAATTAGAATATGTAGATAAAGGAAACGGCCAACTCTAAAAATGCAATATTTCATACTTGAATTATCAAGCATCTATAAAGAACGAATATAAAGAAAAGTTGGTCTTACTTTGAGTGTCAAGTTGTTCCACAATGAGTCTCTGTTCCTTACTTCTCCCATTCTGGAGCTTCAAATATAAAGAATAAGGTCACACTCCTGTGAGTTTTTCGGAGGCACATCATATCACACCTCTTTAAATATCTCAACAGAATTCTTACCCAGGAAAAAACAAAAATATCACATTCACAGTTCAATTATCTAAAGAATAGCAAGAGCCATTAACTCCATAAATCCCATACTCTGCAGCCAAAGAACAAGGCAACTCTTCTTTTTAAAAAACAATACGATGAGCATGTAAACATGTTAAACTAGCAGGTGAGAACGTTTCAGAACAGCTCTACAAAATCAGACGGTATGCTACAGGAGAGCTGCTGTCATGGCTCCGAGTTAGAACAAGCTGAGGGAACACGCGAGTGACATGCAACCTGGTCCTCCAACACAGAGGCACGTGCGCTGCGGCCGAGTGAGCGTGCTAGCCGCACACCTGGCTGTGCATCCCAACTGTGCCACTTACTAGCTATTAAGCTTCAGCAAGTTATTTAACCTCTATATGTCAATTTCTTTATCTTCAAAATGAGGGTAACAATAGTACCTACCTTCAAAATTTTTGGTAAAGATTAAATGTCCACAAAGCACTCATACAGTGCCCAGCACATGGAAGTGCTTACTGAACATCCAGTTACTGTTTCCCTGTAATTGTCTAACTAGACACAAGCCACAAGTGGGCTTGGTTCTGGACGATCGGCTACCACCTCTGAGGGCTAGAGTGGGATTAATCAGAGAATGAAAGATTGAACCAACCCTTCTCAGAAGACAGGTCCTGTGTAAGGTACACATACCACACACTGTCAACCATCTGATACGCTCAGCTTTCAAATGACAGTTCTCCTCTGAAGCTATCCTAGCCAAAAGAGAGAAGTACACTATTCATTAAGCTGTGTCTGTAGCTAAGGCTGAGTGTCTAAATTAAAGAAAAACATATAAGTTGCTTTTATTATTAATAAACAGTGACTTAGCCAGAGGCTGATGGTATTAAATAGATTTGGAACCCCACATGGGTGTGCATTCATTTTTACAAACTATTAAAAGATATATAACATCAAATCAAAGCTAGATTCAAAAAGGATTATATTGTAGTCATACAACTTTTTCATTTTATGTTAATATCATGTGTCATTCAATGCCACTGTAATTTTTAAAGTACTTTTGCAGCCTGGTATGTAACATCCAGGTATTCAGCTCCTAAATCTTCTGAGAAATTCACTAAATTCATATACCACAGTGCCTGTGTACTAAAGGAATGAATGATCAGGTTTACAGAGGAACACAGCAAATTTAAGGAGAAATTTATACACAGAGCACGTGGGTTCCCAATAGGCTACATAGACAGTGAATACAATTATTATTTGTATTACTATTGCATGAAAACTATTAACAAAATAGAAAGACAGTAGTAAAATATGGCAGGCTTTTAACTAAGAATGACAACGTCATTTATGTTAGATAGACAATAGCAGAGAAAGCTCAGAAAATCTGGATCTGAATTCTAAATCAGTTTTGTCTCATGATTTGGTATCACAGAGATTCAGAAGGACAACAGAAAGTATACTTGATTCTTGAAAAAATGACCGATATATCTATGACATGACTAGTATGTAGTTTATTAAACACACCATGGTGTAGAGAAAGGAGCACGGACAGGGCCCAGTTCTGGCAGTAGTCAGAGGTGGGTAATCACCTAATACTCTCCAGGCCTAACTTTCCTTATTTGTTCAGTGAGGGGGTTGGACAGTACAACCCTTAATATCCATTTTAGCTCTGAAGTTCTCTCTCTCAATGGTATCCTTACAGCTCATATTCTCCATGAAACTATTTATATTACAGGAGTAGTTAATGTTTTCATCATGTACTTATATGAAAGTGTTTATAATTTAACCATGAAATTACACTCTGGTCTAAGTCCTCACTACAAATGCCACATATTTTTTTATGGGGATGAGGATGAGACCATACTAAGATTAACTTCTCAAGATAAAAATTAACCAAAAGAACAATTCTGATGATACCTTGGCACCATCTACTAACACAACAATCAGAAATGACTATGTGATATTTATGTTCACCAATCAATCACTCAATAACATCACTCAATAACAAAAACCTCTTGCTGAAATTGCTAGAATAAGCTCAATAAAAAGCAAATGCACAGAGAAGTAAATACAAGGATATTTATTTTGAAGCATGATTTGTAGTAACAAAAGATTTGAAACAATCTATATGTATATACACAAGTGCTAAATACGTTGTATTATATTGTATATATCTAGAAAATGGGACCACGTTCAACCATTAAAAACAATGGTTAAACAGAGGCAGTCCCACGTGATTCATATGGAACAATTCTCAAGAATCCTCCCATCAGGACAACAGTGCTAGCATGCTATCATTCGTACAAAAGATAAAAATGAAATATGATATGTACATGTGCTATCTCTGGATGGTTGGGGAAAAAAATGGTTAACAACAGCTGCCTCTGGGGAAAGGAACTGGAGGAAATATACTTTAAAAATTATTTCAGTACATTTTGAATTTTTTATCCATGGGCACATCCTACATATTTTTATTTAAAAAGCTAAATTTTCAAAGGAACAAATGAACAACGAAAAAAATGTTCAACTGAATATGTAGGGACACAAACAAACACACATAGGCAAAAGACTGGGAGGGAATAAACCAAGATAGCACCAATGGCTGTCTTTAGGTAGTAGGATAAACGTGATTTATTTTCCTTCCTTTATATTTCCCTGTATTTTCCAAATTATGTCAACAAACACATAGTAGCTTTGTAATCACAAGAAATTATACATATTTTTAAACAAATCACATTTCTGTCACAATTTTTTTTCAGATATTGAATAAAGTACATGCTGTGAGAATCTGTATATTTTTATCAAAGTTCTGAAACTGTTTCATGCCGGGATTCCACACATTTGCTCCAGACTCACCCTTAAGTTATATGAAGGATCCTTAAGACTTAAGTTTGGAAGAGATGCCTGGAGAGCATTTACATAACTTGTTCCCGTTCCTGGAGCTATAGCTGGAAGAGAGGTACCGAGTTAAGATTTACAATCATTATCAAGAGAATCCTCAACAACGGCTCAATCCACAGTCAATGATCATCTTTCAAAATACCCTAGACTTTCCAGTCACCTCACTGAATTCAGAATATCAGATGACTCTTCCACCAACGTCATTAAGAACGGACTAAAAATGCTAGTCTTGCTCTTGATCTTTTATCAGTCATTTAGGAGGGAAGGGGGGTTGTCTGTAGACCACTGGGTATCGTTACGCCCCTCAGGCTGTGACTGTATGGTGGCAATGGACTGCTAGCAGAGCTCACGCTGAGGCTGAGTCTAAAAGACAATGGGGGAGGGTGGCGTGAGAGAGAAGGCCAATGGGGGTCTGGTCCCCTTTAAGGACGGCGGCAGGGGGGTTATCAGCAGAAAAGGCGCCCATTCCATGAGGAGGTTTTGTGAAACTCAGGACACATGCAGGGCAGCTATGGGATCCCAGGGACAGGATACCACCCAGGGTTGGACGGTGGTCAGGCCCAACACTGGAGCAAGGCAGCAGGGCTCAGCAGACACTCAAAGGCCCTGAACGTCCACAGCGCCACCGGCCTGTGCAGAAAATGGGGCTGCAGACTTTCCTGAAGACCGGAATGGTAAGAACTGCTGGTGGCATTTTGATGAGAGCTGAGACTCCCTGGTCACGGGCGTAGGGTGATGAAGTCTGCAGATCTGGGATATGAAGTTTATAAAAGGAAACGATCTCCAGCTACAGGCTAGTGGGGGCTGTGGACATTCAGGTTCGGTTCCATCTGCCCGTCCATAAAGTGAATCTTTACCAACCAAACCTACTATGCCCAGGGTACTTTCTCTTGGCCACTGAGAGGCCAAAATTCTGCTTACCAGACTGCCTGTATTTCTGGATTTTTGTCTTCAGGTCTATTCTGTGGATGTTCTTTAGGCATTTTTCTAATAAATCCAACTGATCTGGAGCAAGCAGATTTAGTTTCTCCAATTCAATCACAAGATCCAAGAAACTCTAAGAGAGCCACCAACAAGAAACAAATGTTAGTAGAGCTGATTATTAAGCCCCAAATGCAAACCTCAGGCCATGTGATTTACAACAGCAAGAAAATGTGACAACAAGAACCCCTTCTATGACCTTCCATGACCTTAAACCAGACTGTTTATACTCCCTCCAAGGCCAAGAGCAAATTACACTCCTGGATTTCACTCAGCAAAGAGGTGGTGCTAAGTCTTTTGGAGGCCAACCTCTACCTAGGTTCGGGATAGACACAAGGGCCATTCAGTGTCATCGAGGAGTACTGAGAGAGAGCAGGGCTAAAAACGAAACCCTCCCAAGTGTGTTCTCTTCCAGAAAGCCAGGTTAGAGTTATACTGAGAAACTCTGGGGGTTTCCTGTAAAAGGAAGAGAGAAGGTAGCTGGGGAAGTTTTTATTAGAAAAATCCCAATGATACAGTTTTGAAGTTCCTAATACATTTTAATCAATACTGGACATTCCAACTCCTTCTGACTCAGGGGGTATAAGGTGGCAAAATCACAAGGTTTGGGCATTTTGCTACTCATTTACCCCAGACCACAGAGATTGTGAAAGAACTATATTTCAGAAACAGGCACTGCTTTCGGTTTTATTTCCCTTCTGTTTAACATATTTACTGAAGTGCTCTCTTTATTTTTAAAAATAACAATCATAATTAAATCCATATAAATGATTGGGAGATAAGTTGATTAGGGGACACCAAACAAGGAGTTCTATTTTTTCATTTTCCTTCCCATTTTTCATTTGAGGGTGGGAGCATACAGTCACCCTATATTCCCAGATTTCAGAAACTACAATCATTAAGAAACATGGAGAAATTCTAAGGCAATGATTCAGAGTCCTCAGAGGCAGGTCCTTCAAGGATATATTGTCATAGTACATGACCTGAGCTCTCCTTGGCTTGTCCTTAATGCAGCAGGACCATATAGAGCCAGGTGGAATTTAAATATTTTTCCAGCAATCACAACATCCCAGAGATCTTCACCCCTACCTAGTTCTCAACCCCAAATCTCTTCTTTTCCCATTCCGTAGATATATTAGTCACAAGGACCTTCCGCGACCCCATCTCCACATGCAGTCTAATGACTCCACAGTGACCTGGAGCTGGCTGAGGAGAGAGATGCAGGTGGAGCAGGGTGAGAGAGGACTAGCATGTCCCACCTGTTTCTACTCAGCATAAGCAGATGGGACTTCCTGATGCCCCCAAATGATCTGTCAACCCAGGGAGAGAAACTGATGGATAACGCAAGCCTATGAAGTTTACACAAATAAAAGATAAAATACAAGGATGAAAGAAACATTCAAGGCCACATCAGAAGACATCACCCTATTTCCTCTCAATTCATAAACCAATTCTCTTCCCATCAATGTTACTATGAAAAAACCCATCCTCTTCTCACTTTCCACCTTCACCCCAGCGTTGGCCTCCTGCCCCAGTTGCCCACTTCCGTCTCTGCACCCCGTGGAGAGCATCCACCAGCTTCTCACAGGCTCTTGGGAACATGAACCAAGAAAAAGAAAACTCACCTTGTCCTTGGCTATCTTGCTTCGGCCCATATAATCCCTCATGAGGAAAATTAATGAGGACACATCAGATTTATCCAAATCCTCCCCAATCTCCGTCATCAGCACCCTGTAAACCAGAGAAGTTTCTTTAGTAAATTCAGATTCCAGTGCTATGAGAATACCAAGAGCCTACACTTTCTCTACACCAATAACTCGTGAAAAGACTAGTTCTTGCCCTCATTGGAATGTAGCCCCCATAAAACTGAAAGCCTAGATCACCCCAGGAAGAGGTCTCAAGGGAACTCAAGAAGGAAATTTACCCTGTCCCCAGTTTTCACCAGGAGATGGTACCTCTCCTTCCATCTAGCTGCTCTGAAAACAACTCAGAGAATAAAAACTTCCCTAAAGAATCCCCTAGCTTGCCCAGAAGTGATGATCAATAAGTGAAGGACCTAAATGACTAAGATGAAAGACAGAAATAGAATCCAAGGTGATCTTGCCCTTTCTGTTTAACAAACTCCCAGGTGGTGCTGAGGCTGCTGATCCAGGGACCATACTTTGAGTTGCAAGATTCTAAAGCCAAGTAATACCCAGGATGTCCTGGCCCACTCCCGAACTCAAAGGGCAAAAGATCTCCAGATCCTGGGGACTGTGACCCTAGATGTCTTGGTCTAGAAGGCCCCTCCTGACTCAGTCACCTCTGCTCCAGCTGGAGCTACCATCATGCTTCTCTGGGGCTCCCGGGACACCCCATGGTTAGCATTATTACCTTGCCATTGTCATCACTGCGTAGGAGGTCGTTTCCCCAGTTAGACTCTCAGATTCCCGAGGATGGAAGGGTCTTCGTTGATTTTACTCTAGCAGTTACCAAACACTGGGCATGTGTCGACCCACAACAAAGCCCACTGAACAGCTGAACCAACAAATCTAGCCCTTCCCCTCCCACGGCCCGGCCTCTCGCCCAGAGACCCTGAAGAACTGCCTGCACTCACAAGAGCAAGGAAACAGCAGGCGGAGTGCCTCGCCTAGTCACTGAAACTCCGCCAGGGCCTCCCAACAAGTTTTAAGAACATTACTGACATCATCTGGTGGTTGGAGAGGGGAAGATGATCGAGTACAACGACGACATTATTATAAACCCTTGCATTTGTAGAGTGCTTCACAGTTTTAAAGAGGACTTCACATGCCAGGTTATCACAACTGATCCTCACCAACAGACTTGTGAAATCAAGTATTATTATTCTTAGCCTTACAAGTAGGAAAACAAAGGCCCCTCCAACGTTAGCGGCTGGCTCAGCCCACACGGACTGTAACTGATAGTTCTGAGGCTGGAAACAGAACTTCAGACCTCAAGTCTCAGACGCACTCCAAGGCCCACACTGCTTTCAACTCTCTTTAATATGGTTTTTAATAACACACATCATCTCCAAATATAAATTATCGACACCACTAATGGCCGGTGGTCTGGAGAAAAAGGAATTGCTAATTTAAGGTTACAAGTTCTCTTCCTTTCCCAGAAACACAGCCTGTTCAGTGGTTTCCATGCTCTTTTGAGCCGCCAACACAGTACTGTGTGAACAAGAGCAAGGAACGTCTTAAGGCTGTCTGAACTAAAAGGGCCTGGGGTAGTTAAGTGAAGAGATGTTCCAGCTAGGCTCCCAGAGCCTCTGGGAGCAGGGACCTCACAGGAACTCAGACAGAGCCCACCCCACTAACTGCTCAGCAGAGGAAAGATTCAGGAGGGATCAAAGAGTTCTATGAAGACTAGGAAGCTCACTGTCAGACTTGTTATTTTCTTTCTCATAGCAGAAAGTACCAGGGGTCTGACATCACAGAAAATCAAGCTAGCAGAAGTCACTGCGGATGTCACAGTCAGAGGCTGTGCAAGAACGACAAGCTCTTAGTCATTGCCCTCTCTCTCTCACTCTGCGTAAGGCAAACACATCCCATCTACTTTCATTATGGTCTTCTACCCAATTACTTTAATTAGCAAACACATTCTAAGAATTCAAGGAGTTCAAAGGAATGAAGTAACATCATATGGCAGATCACTGCGTAGAGAAAATGATGAGGCTGCTCTTCTTCCTGTCCTAGTTTCTATCGTCCAGAAGTCTAGACCACCTCTCTCCCTCCCGCCAGTCCAGCCTTGGGAAGGGCTGATGAATTACCTATAGTCCGATACAAGCCGAGGGTGCCTGCGCAGGTGTGCCTCTACTGCCGTTTTGTCCATCTTCAAGATGCGCTTGAGCAAGTCAAACCGCCTCACTCTGTAGAGCAGCTCAGCCAAGCCCCCAGAAGACAGGTTTCCTCTCTCTCTTAAAATATCCAGAAGATCCCTGACGTTAAGTGGAGCCACATCTGCAGCAACGTCCCGGCACAAAAATAGAAGCATCTCCTTCTCGTCTTCATCAAGTGCCTCTTCAACCTGATGGATGACCTCAGCAGACATCCTGAACAGCGTCTCTCCAAGGAACGGCAGCAGGAAAAAGCCAGTCCCGTCAACAGAAGGCCTTGAGGCTACTGACTTCATTTCTGATAGCTTTCTTCATTTCTTTCAGAATCCTTTCCAATGGGAGAGTTCTGTGGTTAAAAGGGAATTTTTAAAAATCCTCTTATCAAAGTATCTTATGCCTAAAATTCAAAGGTTCTTTCCTCCTTGCTGGTCTCTCCAACCTAGCAGATCAAACTCATATTGTTAAGTCTCCAAAAAGGGATCCTCAGTAGACAAAGCAACAGGTCCAAATAACAAGAGACAAAGAAGATAACCTACTTTTAATGAAAATAAAACCAGAAGAAAATTATTCCAAAAAATCCCACACGCTTCATCAAAATTTACAGAATGGAAAATATAGTCGGGGGAAACCAGGGGTTTATGACTCAGTGCCAACAAATGACCCCGGTGGGTGGAAGAAGAAAACTCCCAATGACTAAGCCACCGAACAAATGAAAGACACTGCTGTCACAGTGGTCAGCTCCACTTTAGGGAACTCTCCCAGGTAGGCCTGAACAAACATGGGTCTTGACAAAAGCGACCCTCTGCAGGGTTTCAAAAATGATGGGAGAAAAGAGGTTCTGTCCCTACCCCACCCCTTTTACCAGCTGTTCTCCTATTTTGAAACCCCTCGTTCACACCTATAAGCAGACCCTCTGCTGCCATCCTCCCAAACTCGCAGGTCTTTTCACAGCTTCACCATGAACCCTCACCGGACCTGCTGCCACAGCCCAACGAGGTCTCGTCAAGTTCTGACACCTCTTCAGACCAGGAGCTCTGACTCTCAACACACTGCTGCAGTGCCCCGCCTATGGCTAGAGCTCCTGATAGCATCAGTGGAAGGAAGGCAGTGGAACAAAGATGTGGGAAAAGATCCCGCTCATGGGGCGGGGGGGTTTGGGTGGGAGTGGTGGGGCGGTCATGCCATGGGGGCATTCTTAATTTCTTTCATTGGAACTCAACCTATTTTCTTTCAAAATTTAAGTTGCAAATGGCGATCACCGTCTACTCTGAAGTTTCATGGCTATGTTTTACGTTAAGTTCTTGTGTTGTGAGAGAGTATCTTGTCTATTTCTATCACAAAACATTTCAGGTTAAAAGCTAATCTTAGCAAAAAATAATGGGAAACACAACCCAAATGCAAGTTGCTAACTGTTGCTACATATTTGTGAATAAATATATTTATATTTTTATCTAGCTATATTTAGTGAAAGGAACACTGAACTATTTTATTGATTTATATACAATCTCAGTGCACAAAAGATTTGAGGCATCTAACAATAAAAACACCTAAGTAGAAAAAAAAATTTTATATGAGAAGGTGAAAAAATTAGGTTAGAAAATCAAAATGGGGTGGAGGGATAGAGAATACAATGCAAATATGCAGGCTAGGAAGGCCTAAAGTGACTTTAGTAGACTGTGAATTTGTCCCTGAGCTTTCTGGCAGTCAAAGCAAAAAGGGATATATGGGAAGTTAAATAGTTCTTGCTGTTAAAGAAAAGAATTATTTAATTTCTCTTTTTCTTAGAGAAAGCACAATTTTTCTACAGTTCCAGAGTTTCCAAACAAAGAAAATATTAACAAGTACTTTAGTGTCTGAAAGTAACAAAATTACATTTATTTTAAATATTATTTTTTAGAAATTTAAAATATTCTATTTTAAAATAGACCATTCATTCATACCTTTCACACTGGCCTTCCCACAACCAGTCTAAACAGTTAAGCTCTTACTAAAAATTGACATTTTACCTATTTATACTTGTTAATAAGTATTGATGTGTCTATGCCAATCCCAGGCTCATTCATCCAAATTCACTTAAATATGGCCATTTGTGAATAACTGGAAAAGTGAAATTTATTAAATGATTGCTCAATGAAAGTAGAAAAACTGGTACTCAGACTGCTTTATTTTTTTAATCTGAAAGCTGAATAATAATTTTACATGTTCCAGAAAGCCCAAACCTATACTCCACTCACAGGCTAAGAGCACTTTAACCCAACCACTAGTTTCCATGAAAGGTCAAGTTCTTTGTCTGTTCACTAAAAGTGACAATTTTCTTAGTAGCTGTTATTATAAATTAATCTATAGAATATTTATACACACTAGAATGTATAAAATAAATAAGGGATCATTAAACACACAAGAGTAAGAAATGAGGTCTTATCCAAATTCACCAGACATATCTGAAAAAGAACTAAACAGAACTACTAGAAACGAAATTTTCAATTTCCTATTTTTAAAAATGGTAATCTAACTTTTGGAATTCATAATTATCAATGATATAACAATGCCAGCAAGAGCTAACAAATTAGGTAATCGTTTTAAAAAACACTATCTGCTCAGTTCATTTCCTCCAACGATTATACCCAAGACTGCTTTCTGCCAGTCATGCGCAGTGAGCCACAGAACTGACATGTTGTCCTCCCCTCTGTAGTAATCAAGTACAGTCTGGCAGCAAAATCCAAACTACTCAGTGGTAGCATCTGGCACAGTCAGAGAAAATATCAAAAGGAAAACTACAGCTCCCGTGCTAAGCCAGGCCACCACATGCAGCAAAATTCCAGTGTGTCTATGTTGGGGTGGTGTTGGGGCAACTAACTGTGGCTAGAGGCAATAAGCACTTGAGAAAGGGGTGCACAGAGGGGAGAGGCAGAGTTAGGGTCCAAATAATCACTACTGTCTTGGAGTTTCTCTTAAATCCAAACCAAGAAATTAACAAAAGATACTCTGAGACTAGGGAAGCCCACCCAGTCTCCAGGGGCAAAGTCAAAACGACCCCCTAAGGCCACCTTCACAACCGAGGGCACATGCGACTCATTCTGCTGGAGGTGAGCTCGTGCTTAAAAATAACCATGCACAAAAATCAAAACACCCTGACAGAAGACAAAGCAAAGAAAACTCACGTCCTAGGAAGCTACATCTGAAAGAGCTGAAAATAGCTATCTTAAAACGTTCAAGACGATAAGGGAAATTTCTGCAACATGATAGGCCAAATCAATGGTTGTTAATCAGGGGCAATTTGCCCCTCAGAGGACATCTGACAATGTCTGAAGACATCTACCGGTCATCATAACCAGTGTCAAGACTGAGAAACCCTGCACTAGATAATCTGGAAAAAAACTAGCTATAATACACTGAGACGCTGAATAAGACAAAAATACTTGCTTAAATACCCAGTTGAGCATGTAAGAAAGTAAGTAAAGTTGTAGGGAGCCAAAAAAGAAAAAACAGCTAAAAACCACAGTGATACTAATATATATATTAAAAAATGGAAACCATCTAAAAGTCTATCAAGAAGAGACTGAATAAAACGTTTATAGTCCTTTAATGAAATACTACACAGCCCTGAAAATGAATGAATTAGAACTACAGGAGGGCCAGCCCCGTGGCTGAGTTGTTAAATTTGTCCGCTCTGCTTCAGTGACCCAGGATTTCGCCAGTTCAGACCATGGGCACAGTCCTAATACTGCTCGTCAGGCCATGCGGAGGTGGCATCCCACACAGCAGAACTAGAAGGACCTACAACTAGAATATACAACTATGTACTAGGGCACTTCAGGGAGAAGGAAAAAAAAAAAGAAGACTGGAAACAGATGTTAGCTCAGGTGCCAATCTTTAAAAAAAAAAAAAAAAAGAACTACATGAATCTCAAAGAAAAATACAAGATAAATATTTTTGCTAAGGCAAAATGTAAATTGCTAAAGTATACATACCATATGATTAATTTACATTAAAATCCTAAAAGTTAAAAATAATATCATATATTGTTTAGAGATATATATGTCATGCATATATATGGTGAAAATATGAAAACGTACATAATAATAATAAATATTGAATTCAGAAAAGTGGTTTCCATTACAGGATAAATGAAATGTGACTAGATAAAAATACAGACGGGAAATGACTGAATTTGTAATATTTTACTTCATAAGCTGGGCAGCAGCTATACAGATAGTAAAAGAAACATATCTCATATCACATTCTCTGACCACAGTACAATAAAATTAGAAAACCATAATAAACCAAAAGGAAACCTTCTAAGTTTTAAATTGAAAAATTAGTTTCTGTTTCTTACACACTCACCCTTTACCAGTTAATACATACTATATAAAGGAAATAGTGGTGTGGGGGGAAAAAACCCCAAGCACGACATATAAAGACTATCTCATCACATTCAAAATGCTTTCAGAGCTTCCTTGGTCTATATATAGACAAACCTTAGAACAAGAAAGCCTAGAGGCACCCCAAAGTTATGCTCAAAAAGAAGAGTTCCGATTTTATTTAATATGATTCAAAAGATGGGGTGGAGGAGCTGGGGAGGGCCATATACCTAAGGGGGAGACACTCAGTGTATTTTTATGGAGGAACATATTTTTTCACAAATTCACAACACAAGATGGAATAAGTCATCACAATTATAACTTAGAAGTGCGGGCCAGCCTAGTGGTGTAGCAGTTAAGTTCATGCACTCTAATTCAGCAGCCTGAAGTTCACCAATTTGGATCCCGGGTGCAGACTTATGTGCCACTTATCAAGCCACACCGTGGCAGGCATCCCACACATTAAGAAAAAAGAGAGAGAGAGCAAGGAAGATGGGTACAGATGTTAGCTCAGGGCCAATCTTCCTCAGCAAAAAGAAGAGGATTGGTGGTAGATGTTGGCTGAGGGCTAATCTTCCTCAAAAAGTAAGTAATAAATAAATAACTTAGACGGGGAAAACAGATGGAATCAGTTTAGTCTAAGGAAACAAGAGGCTATCAGAAAATGGACTATCCTATGAGATTTTTTATACAAATCTCATAGTAACTACTAAACAAATAATCAGAACAGAGACACAAATGATTGATGAAGAGAAAACTAAGAAAACCATCACAGAAAACTACCTAACTGAATTGGTAGTCCAAAATACATGACATGAGAAACAAAGGAAATGTAGAAGAACCAGAAAACAAGCGATAAAACGGCAGCATGAAGCCCTCATTTATCAATAATCACTTTAAATGTAAATGGACTGAATTCTCCAATCAAAAGACACAGAGTGGCAGATGGATTAAAAAACAAGACCCAACATTATGCCGCCTCCAG